ATACTTTGAGCTGCTTTCATATGATTAGCTGCTTAGATGTATGCGTTAACCAGCAGTTGGACAGGGCTATGTAATAACGTGGCTGTTGATTGTAGTATGCAAAAATATTACACTGACAAGAGCCACTTTGTAGCAACATGAGAACTTTTGCTACTTTTTTAGTAGTTATTTTATACTTGGTGTAGTAAATTAAGTTTTTCAGATTAATTGTAACAAGTCAACGTATGATATAAGACTCTTATTGTAAGCTCATGCCATTTTCAATTAGGTGATAAAATATTCAAAAACCTTTGTACTTCCTTTACAGCACATTGCACTTTTATTTTTGTGGTTGCTCTTGCAGGCGGTTTAAGTTGGTACGTGTGGTTAACATGGTGAAGCGTGTGGATGACTTCCAGGGCAGCCGCTACCTTCTTGAACTGGAACTGAAAGATGTGAATGGCCAGCTGCTGCGTGTATCACACTACATCTATGCTCTGGTAACCAATAGCTGGTCCAACGGCTGGGACTCAGACTTCCAACAGTCAAAATCTAAGACTTTGCTCTGCAACCCGGTGGGCTTCCGCTGGAATCCTGTTGCCATGGTCCACTTCATAGTGCCAGGTACTGTACACCTGACACTTACTTGGTGATTGCACATAAAATCAGCCAAATCTAAAAAAAAGTTCCCACACCTGCTCAAAATCAACTGATTTACATGTTCATTTTCTTGTTTGTTAATATTTCATTTTTCAAAGATAGAAGTTCTTACAGCCTGACAGTGTCATATTAAAAAACATGGTGAGATGTAAGTGGACCTTTTTAGAGGAAAAAGAAAACCCTTCAGTGGGATTAAATAATGGCTCCATGTCTCTAAACTATGCAGAAATAAAGGATAATCTCTCTGAGACAAGGTCCTTAACGGTAAAATGTAAAACTCTTATCACCTGAAGACAGAAATTGAATCACATTATGAATTCAGCATAATATAATATTAATGTAAATTTGGCAGTAATGCATTAATACTGGTATGTAAAGCACATAACAGAGCTTCCCTTTATTAATGCAGTTTAACTGTCGAGCACCGCATGGGCATGGCAAGCTTGTTATTATACTGTCTGTGGGAATGACCTGTGTTCCCTTTGAGAATTAATAGCTTTAAAAAAAATGCAAAGGTCAAAACACCTCTGCCAGATAAAAGATAGAGATAAGTCACTTATCTGTCATATAATTGGCCTGTATGTCTTTTTCAGTAAAAAACCAGGCTAGATGGGTGCAACAGCTGATTACTGACATGGAGGAACTGTTCAAAATAACTGGAGATAGTAACTTCAACCTCATAATCACTGACTACAAAAGCACTGACATGGATGTGAGGAAGGCTCTTGAGAAGTCCTCACTGCCCAGGTTTGTGTTTGTGAGTTAATTTTACAGGCAATACAAGCCTATTGCAAACTATTCATGGTGTAACTGAGCTGTATGTATGCTTGTGGAAATGATCAGGTACCAGTATGTGAAGATGGATGGGAACTTTGAGCGCTCTGCTGGTCTGCAAGCAGGTATCGACCTGATAACTGTGAGTACTGCGGCATCACTCGGCAAGGAAGCATAAAAGTGTACCGATAGATGTCAATAGTAAATTTCATGAATTTAATGTTTCCCATCTCGCTGTTCCTTAGGATGACCACAGCATCGTGTTTCTTTGCGACCTCCACATCCACTTCCCTCCTTCAATCATTGATACCATCAGGATGCACTGTGTAGAGGGATACATGGCCTTTGCTCCCATTGTCATGAGGCTGGGCTGTGGTAATACACCTTTAGAGGCCAGAGGTGGGAAATGGGACCAGATTCACTTCCTTTTGTTTTTTATTTTTTTAGCCACTAAAATGACAAGTATTTATGTCTTGGGCTATGTGATTGTCTGTGTTGTAGGTTACTGGGAGATCAATGGCTTTGGCTTGCTGGGTATCTATAAGTCAGATCTTGACACAGTGGGAGGTATGAACACCAAGGAATTTACTGATCGCTGGGGAGGAGAAGACTGGGAGCTTCTCGACAGGTTTGTCTCACACTTTCTATCTTTTCTAAATGGATAGATATGTTTAGAGTTTTTCCATCCATTTCATCCATTGAAAGAAATTAGATAGCAATACTTGGAAGCAATACACCTTCCAAGTAAGACGCAGACTGGTTAAAAGGTTGCTGGTAAAGGCAAAGAACAGATGGACATACTCTCAAAAAAATCTTGATTTATTAGTGCAAGGGTTTTTTTCAGCCAATCATGATTTGTGTCTAAGAAATGACAACAAAGCATGTTGGAGCTCTTAATTGGCGAAAAATCGTTTCTTTCCTGTTTGTGATCCAGGTTGAGTAAGCACTCTTCCTCTTGTTTTCTCATCTAGAATCCTTGAGGCAGGTCTGGAAGTGGAGAGGATCTACTTGAGGAACTTTTTCCACCACTATCACTCCAAACGTGGCATGTGGAACCGGCGAATGTCAACAAGTCCCAGGTGACCTTGTCACCTGCATTTGCACAATGACATCACCACGGTTACAACCAAGGCAACGTGAGCACTTTAAAGCCGGAGGGTGATTCCTGCTATGTAATGGTAATACCTGCTGACGGTTAGAGAGTAGCACATGAGCCGGTGCTGTATTTGCTCACTCAGGCTTTGGGAAGCAGGTGGCAGCACTGAAGGTCATTGCTTAGGAGATACTACTGATATGCTCAGAGTTTATTTCATTGAATATGCTGTGGACTCCAAAGAGGGTACTGGCTACTGAGTGCCAGTGACTATAAAATTCAATGTATGAGGATACCGCCGTGCACAATGATGCTGACCAAGATCATGATCTGCACTACTGGCAGGAAGAACATTTCCTAATCTGAAGACAAAGCTGGATTCCATATATGTAAGCTCACAAGTGTCCCTTATTATAAACATCACTCTTGCACATAGGTCTTAACTAGTGGGAGGGGGAGGGGGGGAGGGGGGATTTTATTTTATTTGTGTCCCAAAATTTCTTTTTACTGTAGATTGTTTATATGATAAAAACACAGCCTTACTTGTCTTGTTGTAAATTAGAGAAAGCATTTTATTTATTGAATAAATATTTGTGGTGTTCTTTTTTCCCCCTTTTATATTTAATGCTAGAAATGTTGAACTTACCTCAGTGCTCTTCCCTGTTTGTTCTCATTATGTTTAAGTGTCCTTACTCTGCTGTGACTCGAAGTAATGAGAACTGTTTTACAGGCAAATCCAAAAAAGCTGAAAATAATAAGTTAATGTTAAAGTGATGTTTAATTGTAGCATTAAGTTGTTTTTAAGGAAACAAAAAATAATGGCTTTAATTTAGACAGATTTGTTTTTGTCAATGCACAGGCAATTAATGACCATATCATATCCACTGTGGAAGTACATTTTCCACTTTTGCCAGTTCTCCTTACACTGCCACTAACCAAAAATAACCAAAATAACCTTTAATCATAGCATTAAGTCCTGTGTTTGATGGTCCCTTTGCTCTACTTTTTCATCTATGGATCATGCTTCTCCTTAGGTTGTCATTTCTGACAGCAGAGAAATTCCTCAAAATGTGATTAATGAGTGAAAATTCTTGTCGCTTTGTCGCATTGTTATGTTGTTAGTTAATGTTGGAGTAATGGCAGCATTTTCTCATTAACATTCCATGTCAGCAAATGAGTTGTCTTTTAGCGTAACCTGTAAAAATGACTGACAGGTGCTGAACTCTTTCACTTGTCATTCAGGGCAATGAAGACAGAAGACGAGTTGAAAGTGACATTTATAATTTATAACACTGCTAAGAGTAGTGTGTTGTGTTTGTTTTTTGTTTTTTCCTTTTACGAGCATTGCCTCTTTCTAAATTTGGTTTGTGAGTTTGCTGGAATAATGGATACTTCCCCCTTTCCTCCTTTACACTCCTTCACATGACTTAAAGTGCTCTTGGTTTACTTTTAAAATACCTCAGCACTGTCTTTATGCTGGGAATAGGTTCTCCATTAATGTTCTGAAGCGTTTTCTCTCAGGGACAGGTTATTCCATGTTACGCTGCCTTGACAAATCTGGCAAATAAAGTCCTCTTAAATGTGTTCGTTTGATTACCGTGTTGTTTTACATAGCTGATATATACTGAGGTATACTGTGGACTTGTACCTCAGTTGAGCACTCAAAGAACTTTTTACTGGAAGCTTGATTCACCCAGTCACACTTATTCATATAGCACTTTTATCTGCCTAAGAGTTTTCCTAACATTCCCACACACACTCATATAGGTGCATCAGAATAGTCTCTGAGTTTAGTGTCTTGCCAAAGGATACTTCAACATGTAGGCTGTAGAAATTTGGGATCAAACCATCAACTTTCCAACTAGAAGATAAACTGCTCTGCCTCTTCAGCCACAACTGCCCCAGGATGCAAGTAATGAACTGAGACAACCTTTAATTAAAAAAAAGAGAGGTATTCTAGTTATTGATTAAATTACCTTTGGAGAGAAACAAGCTTTATAGGTGCATCATCACTGTTTTCCTCCTTGGTACATCTCTGCACATTTTCACAATAATCTAATTGGTAAGTAGTAATTATTCTTAAACTCATTCAGATAAACTTGAAAGACATTTGTGTTCCTGCCGGTCGGCAATCTTATCAGCCAATCTAATGAATTTAGGCATAGTTAACTAGCTGAAGTTAAAACCTGGTGAAGGATGGGATGTGTTCATCTACACAAAATTTCCATCTCTATCTCTAGGGTTTACAGACAATGGTATGAAAAATATAAACTATCCAGTGAACAGTAGTTCTCTAGGTGGAAATCCCTTCTTGATGTCAGAGGTGACATGAGAATAGTCAGGGTGCGTCGATCTGATAGGTAGGCAAATGTAGCTCAAATAACCACTCATCACAACCAAGGTATGCAGAAAACATGTCCTGCTTTTTTTTCCTCAAAGGCACAACATGTCAAACCTTAAAACAGCAGAAGACTGCAACGGGTGTCACTTCCTATCAATTCGAAACAGGAAACTGTGGCTACAGTTGACACAGGCGGATCAAAATTAGACAACAGAAGACTATAAAAACATTACCTGGTCTGACAAGTCGTAATTTAATTCATGCACGAATTAAATCCTGCCTTGTATCAACAGTTCAGGCTGCTGTAGGTGGTGTGATGTTATGGGAGTTCTTTTCTTACCACACTTTGGGCCCCTTTTTATCATCTAAGCATTGTTTAAATGCCACAGCCTACCTGAGTATTGTTGCTAATAATGTCCATCCTTTATGACCACACTTTACCAATCTTCTGCTTATTTCAATCAGAATAGAATATCATGTTACATGATATTTGTACATGACAATGAGTTCACTGTACTCAAATCAAATTCAAATTCAAATTTTATTTGTCACAAACACAGTCATACACAGTACGATATGCAGTGAAATGCTTAGACAACTGCTTGTGACCTAAAATAAAAGACTATGAATAGGATAGGAAATAAATAGGGTACTGTCGTTGCTACTGTCACCAAATTTCAGTCCAACAGAGCACCTTTGGGGTATTCGCATTATGGATATACAGCTGACAAATCTGCAGAAACTTTGGGCCAAAATCTCTGATTTGGGCATTAGGTACATATCTATACATACATCCTGATTCTTGTAAAAGTAAAAATAGAGACTAGCAGGCCAGTTTCTGTGATTTTCTTATTCTTGAGGCTAGACTGATATTTCTGGGTTATGGCAGATTATTTCATAGCTCATATAGACAGAAGCTGTACTATTGTAGTGCATATAGGCCACTGTTATACTAAATGAAATAACTTCACGCAGTAAAAATAGCATTGTCAGTCATACACAAATTCTTTCCATCACCCTTAGAGTCCTTAAAGGCTGCTGACTCCATCCACAACACCCTTGATTATTCAACCCCCTGTCTTGCTGACAGTGTTTGATGCTAGTTCAAGGACAAGTATCAGTATGTGTGACAATATTTGCTGTTTTTAACCGGAGAGGAATTCATTCCATAGAAGAAGAAAGGCTAAGTATATCCTTGCTCTAAATATCTCAGGTGGCACTGCAAGTTTATGGCATTCCTTAGTGGAGACAGAAGAAATACAGCTCCATTACCGTGTACAAGGACAATGCCAAGCAATGTAAATCTGCTACACTCACAAATGAAATACAGTATTATCACCATATGATAATATGCCTAAAATCTAAGTCCAACCAATCCAGTTGTCCATGGAGTATATCTTATTGTAATGGTCAAGCTCTGAACTTCATCGCGTATTAGTCTCCACTAGTAATTTATGAATTCATTTACTTTTAGGTTTGTAATTTTCACTTTTTGACTATCCCATTTTATTTTTGACTCATTTTAGTTTGATTTTATAAATGTTATGTTAAATTTTGGTTAATTTTTTTTCACTTTCAATTAAAGTTCTTTCATTAAATCTTCCTCCATCCATCCTGCAGCGTCAGCACATGAAGGAATTTGTTCACTGGGCCCCACCAGCAGCATTCAATTCAATTCAATTCAATTTTATTTATATAGCACCAAATCACAACAAAAGTCGCCTCAAGGCGCTTCATAGATACAGAGAAAAACCCAACAATCATATGACCCCCTATGAGCAAGCACTTTGGCGACAGTGGGAAGGAAAAACTCCCTTTTAACAGGAAGGAACCAGGCTCAGGGAGGGGCGGCCATCTGCTGCGACCGGTTGGGGTGAGAGAAGGAAGACAGGATAAAAGACATGCTGTGGAAGAGAGACAGAGGTTAATAACAGATATGATTCAATGCAGAGAGGTCTATTAATACATAGTGAGTGAGAAAGGTGACTGGAAAGGAAAAACTCAATGCATCATGGGAATCCCCCGGCAGCCTAAGTCTATTGCAGCATAACTAAGGGAGGATTCAGGATCACCTGGTCCAGCCCTAACTATATGCTTTAGCAAAAAGGAAAGTTTTAAGCCTAATCTTGAAAGTAGAGATAGTGTCTGTCTCCCGAATCCAAACTGGAAGCTGGTTCCACAGAAGAGGGGCCTGAAAACTGAAGGCTCTCCCTCCCATTCTACTTTTAAATACTCTAGCATCAAACATCTTCTTCCTGCCCTGCATACCAGACATGGCCTCCACATTTTTACGCCAGTCACCCACCTCCATCGTCAGCTCCTAAAGTAAAGCCGCATTCAGACCATCAGATTCTGCAGTTTTATTTGGCTGCTTATTTGAATGTACCTAGATACCAATTATGTGTGTTGCTAGAGCAAACCTTCTCTTGTTTGATGTCTTCTTTCTTTACAGACTTGAGATTGGCCCTCAGATCCATGGAGCCCTTAGTTTTCGATCCAAACAGAGCTTTCAACATCTCATCTGCTGACACTCTCACCTTCCTGAGAGCTGGTTTCTTAAACTTTCCTCCAAGGTCCTGTACCTTTAGCTTCAACTTGTTGATCTAGCAATAGAGGGAAAAGCTTTATTGGTGGCTTATTGTTAAAGGAGGGGGGGGGGGGGGAAGCGTGTCAACATATTTTAGTTTAACTAGGTGTATTATGATGTTTGCTGAGCTCATACATCTCTGTAGTTCTTGAGAACCTTTGCTTCACAGTCATAGCGATCCTCGTCCACCACATGAATCTTTTCATGAATCTCCTTACAGACTTTCTACACAGAAAAAAATAAGTTTCAATTCATGACACTTAATGGGCTTTAAAAACATTGTCAAGCCCATATGCTTACTCAGAGTATCATAAGCTCACACCTGCAGATCATCAATGTTTAACCCTCTGAGCTGCAGCGGTGGAAGCTTCTCCCTCAGGTATCGAACCTTCGCTTCCTCATTTGCAGTTTTCTCTGCCTCCAAGTCTTCCGTTGCACGAGTCAGGAGAAGGATCTCGAAAAAGTCAAAGAGGTTTTCATTTGTGTCATCTGGTTATCGCTTATAATTTTAATATTGGTTGTTATAGGAAAGAACATTCTAATAATGACATTCTATTTATTATATATTCAGGAGTTATTATGGCTCGTGCATTTTTTGCCAAATTATTTACCTTTAGTGATAGCTTGCGTGACGCAGAAATCTTGCATTTAGGCTGGAAACAATACAAATCTTACATATTATTGATGACTTGAAATGCCACATTGCTTAATTAAGTGCCTAATTCCTTTAAAACAGCAACAGGATGGAAAATTTTCTATCTGCAGTTATCGCAGTTATCTAAAATAGGTACCCTTAACAAACACAAGAGCGTATCTGGTATTCTGACATCACTTATAAGCTCATCAACCATTTAAATGATTACCTTTTTTTTTCTATAATGAGAAACTAAATGTCAGATCATATCAAATAAAACTGACATAAATATTTCACAATGACACTGAAATTATTTCTTTTTTCTGCTGCATGAAAGTATACAGTCTGCAAATATAAAAACACATTCTTGACAGGTTAGAAATATAAGACTTAATTTAATAATCATATGATAATATAAAAATATAAATACCTTCGCCTCTCCCTTGGGGGCAATGGATGATGTACAGGGAGTGCAGAATTATTAGGCAAGTTGTATTTTTGAGGAATAATTTTATTATTGAACAACAACCATGTTCTCAATGAACCCAAAAAACTCATTAATATCAAAGCTGAATGTTTTTGGAAGTAGTTTTTAGTTTGTTTTTAGTTGTAGCTATTTTAGGGGGATATCTGTGTGTGCAGGTGACTATTACTGTGCATAATTATTAGGCAACTTAACAAAAAACAAATATATACCCATTTCAATTATTTATTTTTACCAGTGAAACCAATATAACATCTCCACATTCACAAATATACATTTCTGATTTTGGATTTTGCACGTGTTTTGGATTTTGCATGTGTTTTGAATTTTGTACGTGTTTTGGATTTTGCACGTGTTTTGGAGTTTGCACGTGTTTTGGAGTTTGCACGTGTTTTGGATTTTGCACGTGTTTTGGATTTTGTATGTGTTTTGAATTTTGTACGTGTTTTGAATTTTGTACGTGTTTTGAATTTTGTACGTGTTTTGGAGTTTGCATGTGTTTTGGAGTTTGCACGTGTTTTGGATTTTGTACGTGTTTTGTATTTTGTACGTGTTTTGGATTTTGTACGTGTTTTGGAGCTTGTACGTGTCTTGGATTTTGTACGTGTTTTGGATTTTGCATGTGTTTTGGAGTTTGCATGTGTTTTGGATTTTGTATGTGTTGAGGAGTTTGTGCGTGCTATTTGGAATTTGTAAGTGTTTTGGAGTTTATACATGCTTTGTCTCTAGGGGCCACCGTACAAAGCACCTGCAACAGTGCAACAGTTTCTTGTTGAGATGTTTGGAGGACTACGGTTCAGGCAGTAGGCTACTTCTAGTTTAGGTCTTTTGTTGGGTTTTCCTGATTATTAGGAAAGCCTCCTCCTATTATAGGTTTTCCTGTTGTCATTTCTGCAAAGATATATATTTTTTTCCGGATAAAGTATTCAACGTGCGCAAAAAAAATAAAATAAAAAATACAACAGCAGGATTGTTAAAAAAAAATCTATCACGTAACCTCTTACAGTACCCATGCACGCAAAACATTTTGCATTTATTTTAATAATACTGGGAGTGTTTGCTTCCTCGTGCTACGGTCACATGGAAGGTAAACGAAGTTGTCAAAGTTGCGCATGTTCAAACCAAATCTCTAAGATGCCTTTAAGGGATACACTTAACGGGGGAGTTGCTATTGAAATAGATAAAATTAAGCGAAATTGAACTACTGAAAAGCTAAACTTAATTTGACTGCATATAAGCACGTTTTAATCATCCTAGTGGAAAAAGATATTATATTATTTCTTATATTATTATTTTTATTTGAAGCAGGGGCGCGTCGACGTAACGTTCGCATGTTAAAGTACATCTTTACGAGGTACACACAAACGCAGCACACAACAACCCCAAGTGAGAATTCATTCATCATGGGCTTCATGCTGTCAAGCTAGCCGTTGTATTTACGCGGGACGTGTGTAATAAATAGTTAGTGAACAGTAATGCCATTTGTAGAGCATCGCCAGTATCTGTAAAGCCGCAATATCTGCGGCTGGATGATTTCTAAGTTGAGCGACACTTTCCTGTGTGGTGTACTGGGAACTCACGTCTCGTGTTATGGGAGAGACACGGAGGTCAGACGAACGGTGGACTGTCAACAATAATGTCCGAGTAAAACGAGACTGCTGCTGCTTGGCCAGCTGTATGTTAATCTTCTAGCACTGGTAAGGATGCTACAGTCTGCACTGAAGACAACATGCTTATTTTGTAGCTGCATAGGTGGAGGCTTTGCCGTGTGACTGTAAAAACATGGCCGATCAGGTAACTAGAGCTAAAGAGATTCTGACTGCAATGCAGTTAACCTAAGTGGCTTTTCGTGTTAGCCTCGTGTTGCTAACTTAATCTAGCACACTGATAGTTTGTTTTTTGTTTTGTTTTGATAAACGGCAATCCTGTAGATAACCTCAAACCGAGTGGATCAACCTTTTTGAAAAACAAGAAATACAAATTCTAGTTTAGCTTTTAGCTAATTAGCTAGTGAGCTTGTAAACAGAGGAAGGGGCTCTGCACGTTATCACCAAAACATGTTTACCGACGCCTCGATGTTTCCTGTTGCTAAGGGCAGTGTTGACAGATTTAATTATATATGTTGACAGATCAGCGTAAAATTGAATCATGCCTGGGAAACTGAAGGCCAAAATTGTGGCAGGGCGCCACTTGCCTGTGATGGACAGAGCCAGTGACCTTACTGATGCTTTCGTAGAGGTAAGAGAAGAATTTATGTACTTAATTTGTTTACAGCAGTGTGGCTGTACATGAACTGTTTGTCCTAATGCTGATAGTCACTTCCCCTCTAAAATGAGCCAAGAAAAGCAATTAGGCATTTTAAAAAGGTGTCTGATTACATTCCAGGTCAAGTTTGGAAACACAACCTTCAAAACGGATGTCTGTCCCAAATCCCTCAATCCACAATGGAACTCGGAGTGGTTCAAATTTGAGGTAAAATGCCTCTCTTTGAACATGAGGGACCGATGTTATTACTACATTAAATTGCAATCAGATTCTGTAGATTTCTAAACTCTCCTCCTCGCTTTTGCCTCTTGTTCCTCTTCATGCCTTGCTGTCTGTAGGTCGATGATGAGGACTTGCAGGATGAGCCATTGCAGATCACAGTATTGGACCACGACACTTACAGTGCTAATGATGCCATAGGGAAAGTTTACATTGACATTGATCCACTGCTTTACAGTGAGGCTGCTTCTGTCATCTCTGGCTGGTTTCCCATCTATGATACCATCCATGGTATAAGAATCAGCTAATCCATCCACAATGATCACTAATTTTATTTTGTTTTCTTCATGGCCTTATCTATATTTCTATTGTTTGTCATCAGGAATTCGAGGGGAAATAAACGTCATTGTTAAAGTGGAACTCTTCAACGATTTGAACCGTTTCAGACAGTCTTCATGCGGGGTCAAGTTTTTCTGCAGTAAGTTTGGGTGGATTTTTGATTCTAAATGCGTCATAAGACACAATTTTCAGATTTATGTGAGGGAGAGCAGTTCATTAGATGGCATTGTAATCAAGTTTTTTGTGTCATAATGATCTTGCCAACAAAAAAAGGGGTTATTCCTTAATCAGCAAAATTATAAGCCGTGTCAGTGCCATCAGCACATCTGTAAACAAGGAAATACCACTTAAAACTGTGCAATAAAGATGGAATATCAGCTATAACAAACCTTTCTAGTGAAATCTAAGTTCCTTCCCCTCTGTTTTTGTATGGCAGCCACATGTATTCCACAGTGCTACAGGGCAACTTTGGTGCACGGCTTTGTTGAGGAACTCGTGGTAAATGAAGATCCAGAGTACCAGTGGATTGACCGTATCAGAACTCCCAGGGCCTCCAATGAAGCGCGACAGAGGCTCATCTCTCTCATGTCTGGTAAGGAAATTCAGGTGTGGAGGAATGAGTGCCCCAATTTTCCCTGTTTTGTTAACATGGCCGTGTGTTACCCCCCCCGTCCAGGAGAACTACAGAGAAAAATAGGGCTTAAAGTGCTGGAGATGGGTGGGAATGCAGTAGTGGGCTACTTGCAGTGTTTCGACCTGGAAGGAGAGTCGGGCCTGGTGGTCCGGGCCATAGGTACCGCCTGCACGCTGGACAAACTCAGCTCTGGAAGTGCCCCTAACACCAATACACACATGCACCCAAACACAGCTCCTGCTTCCAATGCCTGCAATTCCCCCTCTAAAGATGGAAAGGAGTGAGTATGAACCAACATCACGAGCATGCACACTACTACCTCTTTTATGTGCAAGACTGTGAGTTTTGGGAAAGACGATTGTGTGTGCACGAGAGGGAGAGTGTGTGGATTAAAGCGTGTACTGTATAAAGGTTTATGTGCACACTCCTGTGTGTGTCTCAGTATCTCTTGATTCCCCTTTGCACTTGGTGTGTCCATTGTATCACGTATAGTGCATCATAAAACTAACAGCACACGACATAACCTGAGACACACACATGTACAGTACACACACAGCCATCCTCAACCCCCTCCTCCTCCCTTGTCTGTGTCTGCTCTTTTAGACTCCTCTTGCATGGCTTTCTGCTCTGCCTCTGCATGTTCTAGTGCTGCATCTTTTTAGTGTGTATCTAGTACACATGTTCTGCTGTGCCTCTAACTATGTGGTTACTCACTTTTTTCTGCTTTTCCCATCATAAGTGATTTGTTTTGTGGTTTACATCCAGTTCCTGTAACCTTAACGACTTGGTGCGCTTGTGTGCCTCTTATTCTCTTCAAACTTTACATCTGTGTGTCGGCGTGTGAGATTTTGTGTAACGGGGATGTAAACATCTGCTGGTGGTGAGATGAAATGTGTGAATTTAATTGGAAAACTTTTTTTTTCGGTGAGGAGAACAGTCATGAATGTCCACTAAAAATAGGACAAAGTGATGAATCGAAGCGAGCGTAATTATTGTACCGGAGTTCATTTTCTTCTTTCTGTTATGATTGTCTTTCTTCATCTTTCCTTTAAGACTTACCTGCATTTTGGTTTTTCTTGCAATTAAGAAAGTGTTGTAAAAGAAACCCCTATTTCTTCTATGTTATCAGAATCTAAACAGCTATCTGTGATTACACACATTCTTGATTGTTTTTAAACTGGTTATTCAATGAGCTAAAGCTGCCATGATTCGGGATTCTTGTCGTTTAATCTCTTTCGGGTATTTATTGTTGTTTAATTTACTGACACTGTTCAGCAGTAGTGAGTATAAAGCGAAATTCCACTAAATTAAATCCATTTAGTAATTTTGGGTTTGACCTCAAGGTCAGAGGTCAAGTCTTGTGAATTCAATAACTTGATAAGGTTATAATAACAGATTTTTAATTTCCCCATAGGTGTATCTAGGGCTGTGCGATATGACCAAAATCTCATATTCCGATATTAAGACATCTATCGTCCGATAACGATGTAAATCACAAAAATGTAACATTTTCTGTAAATTCTGTGAATCTCGGGCAGCTCGACTTGCCTGAAGCGTTTCCAGCTGGGCATCGTACCTGGAGTGCAGTGTTTTAACTGATGCATGAAACTATACATTTTTAGACATAAGTTGTAACGGCCGCCGTTTTCTTTGTGAGTATTTATTACACAGCGTGCTGCGAGGAAAAGCCTGTTCTAACGTTTGAGTCTAAGGTTTATTTTTTAGCACCTGACTGCTCTTTTTTGCTTCTCATCCGTAAACACTCTGCATCTTTCACGTGATTCAGTTTATTTTGAAAAGTCTCTACAGGATTTTGAGCTTTATTGTGAAAGGTTTATGTGGAACAAGCGGACACGCGGTGGATTTACCGTCGTTGTTGCTAACCACAATGCATTAAAATCAAACGCTTGTCTGTCTGTAGTGTGGTTATATTAAATATAAGAGAAAGAGAGAACTTTAAGAAATTAATATAGCCACTACAGTGACCATCAAAATAATGAAAAAATATTGCCGTAAACAGTTTATTTTGCGACACCACGAAACAAACGATAGCATAAAATGAAACTATAGACGTTTTTATGTCGTCATCCGATATATATCTTATATCAAACACTAGGAGGTTGAGGGGTAGCGCTGGCAGTTGCCAGTCATTTACAGTCTCAATTCCTTCTCTTCAATAAATGCACTTTTAGTTACTACAAAAAAATACAATCACTTTTTTATTTAATTGTCTATCTATCTTTGCTTAGGCCTCCTTTACTTACTTTTCAGTAAAAACAAACAAACAAAAAAGACATAATGAGAACAAAATGGTGCCAAAGTGGAAAACAAGGTCATCAGATTGCTTTTTTTTTTGACCAACAGTTCAAGATGTAGCGGTTGGATATTTTACACTATTATAAAATAAAGGACCTTTCTTAATCAGTTTGCTTAAAATTGATATCCACAGTTACTCCATGTATTAAAATGATTGCCGATTATTTTCTTTTACTTCTTTTTTTAATATTTCAGCCATAATGGAGAATTTTAAGGTTTCCCAGGGAGCCATATAAAAAGAAATTCTTTCCAGGCTAGCTTATTTTTGGTTACTTATCTGTACTGCTGTAGAGCTTTCGTTACCTTTTTTTCCCCTCGTGTTTGCATCCCTGCTCTGTATATGTGTGAGACTGAGATTTCAAACTGAGAGCTGCGTGTTGTTTTTGTGCTTCTTTCACATGACTTTAAATTGAATAACAGTGCAAAAAGTGGGAGTTTTAACAAAAAAAACCCAACAACCTCTTTTTGCTGTTCTTTTCCTTTTTTGTCTCCCTTTTTCACTCTACTGCAATGTTGTGTTGTGTTGGTTCTTGTGTGCACCTCTTTCTTCCTTTCTGCCAACATTTGGATTTGGACGTTTCTCACCGCTCGTGTCCATATCGGCCCTTCGTCTTCCTCTCTCTCTTTTTCTTTGTCTTTCTCTCTCTCTCTCTCTCACTCTCATTCTTTCTGCTGATTGGCCCAGGTCTCCCCTTGCCCACGGATGCCGCTCCACCCACAACAGCCCAGTGCATTCGGTCTGCAGCTCCCAGAGACTGTCCCAGAACTTCTCAGTCTCTGTACCCACACTCATCTTCACTGGTACGCAGAGGCAGGAAAGGAAATAGGTGCAGGAGAAAGGCAGGAAATCAGAAATGCAGTGTAGCAATAAAGCTATAAGATAGAAGCATCAAGGCAAAGAAGGTAGACAGACCCTTATGTCCTTAAAAATGATTTTAGTCTGGAATCCCTCCACTTCTCATTTTCTAATTACTGCGGGGTGGGCAGTCGGGTTTGCAGTTGCATCAGCATTTCTGAGGAAGGGCCTGTAATCACCCTACAGTCACCTGACCTTTGCTTCACTCTACTGGGACACATGCTTCAGCTCGTCATCCTCTGTTAATCTGATCTTTTTTTGTCTGTTTTGCCATATTGCTTTCTTTAGTTTCATTTATGTGTGTGTGCGTGTGCGCTGTTCTTCGTCCTTACTTTTTGCTTTTCACGCTTGCTTTTGTTTTTTTGTTTTCCAGCCATGCGTAGCACCTGACAACACACCTCACCCAAAGCAAACAAGTGTCACATTAAAAAGTCACCCTTCCACTTAACAACCTCGGTTCACTCTCACCCACATATGCGCACACATACAAACGCTCAGAGGGGTGCAGTGGTGACTGACGTGTGTGTGTGTGTCATGTTCTCCTGGCAGGCCGGTATTTGTTGAGGATCTGCCCTCGTCCTCCGGCCCGCCAACCCCTTTCAGAGCCCTTCCCACCTCCTCCTCTCCTCCCCCCTTCTCTCCCTCCAAGCCATGCAGCCGCCAGTCCTCATCATCAGACACAGACCTCAGTTTGACGCCCAAGACGGGTAAGAATACTTGGCCCCGTCCCTCTTTCCCATTCTCATCCCTCCCTTCTCCTACACTTCATATTGGTGCTGCTGTGTGGTTTTGTTTTTCAAATTCAGTTTATTCAGTTCATTTTTTAAGAATATTTTAACATTATTTTCTGTTGTAAGTTTTATTATAAATATTTATTAAGCCTTGCCTCGTCTCCCACTTGTCCTCAGTGGCCTGGTGTGTCTTCTTGTTTCACACTTTGAAAAACAAAACAAAAAAAACCAAAAACATTTTTAATATTTGTAATATGAAACATGTGCTTCATAGCCTGAAGGCACACCAGATCTCTGTATTTGTTCCGTCCCCTTGTTGTTGTAGCTTTAGAAGCACTGTGTCTCATGGGGGCTGTTGTTGATTGAAGGTCACTTCTCCATTAGTAGTCATTATGGTTAATCATTGAGCAAGAGATAATTTTGGTAGAACTCTGCCCTAAGGACAACTTAAGCACATTTTAACGCAGGCCACTAATAAATGCCACAAAAACTGAGGAACTTTTCACCACAGCTGCCCTCCCGAGCCCTCAGGATTGGACCTATATTTTCCCCTAATCCACATTCCTCCTTTCTTTCCACTTCATTATCTTTCTTGCTCATGTTTCCTCTTCTGTGCCTCCTTTCTTTTCCTCTTAAGCCATTTTTACATGTAGATTGCAGGAGTCCAGACTTGAATCTGATTGAATCTCTGGAGAGATCGGAAAATGGCTATGCACCAACGCTCCCCGTCCATTCTGATGGAGCTTGAGAGATTCTGCAAAGAAGAATGATAGAAACTTCCCAAAAATAGGTGTTCCAAGCTTGTGGCATCATACTCAAAGTTTTGCAGAGAAAAATGAATTTAATCAATTTTTGGAATAAGGCTGTAACATGGCAAACTGCTACAGCTGTGAATACTTTTTGGGTGCACTGTATAGCTAAGTCTTTAGGATTTAACACTTTTTCCAATAAGATTTGACTGAGTTGTAGACTTTTAAGCTTTAATTCGAGGCATTTGACAAAGTTATTGCATTAACTTGTTAGGAATTACAGCCAATTGTTTACATAGTCCATTACATCCAATTTCAGAGGAATGTTCTTTTGTTATTCCGTGATAATTTAAAAGCAGATAAAAAAATCTAGGGCTGATTCCAAGTTTAGAGCTTGCATTTAGTAGCTGACCTCAATATGAGATCAAGAGATGTATAAATACAAGTTAAAGTGCTCATCATTTGGCTGAAAGACCAAAAGAAAACAGAGAGCATCAGCTTTAAGGAACAACATTCTGGTGTATTCTTAAAAAGAAGAAATGAACTAGCCAGTTCAGCAACATCGAAAGGCTTGAAAAACCACAGAAGACAAGTAAAGTCCACTATAACAGAATTATTTCCATGTTTAGGAAAAACAGCTTCACATCTAACCGAGTGAAGAGCACTTTTGGTAAAGTTGGAACAATCAACGAGATGCCTGAACTGAGGTTTTCACAGGTCGTGACAGGAAGGCCAGATCAGACCGCCGGGAAACATCTAGAAGAGCCTTCACAGTTCTAGAAAAATCTTTGGACAGATTGAAACCAAGATCAACTTGTACCATAATGATGGGAAGATAAAATTATGGAGAGCAAGAGAAATGACTCATGATCAGAAGCATTGATTGTCTGGAGTTCATGTGTGAAAATGGCTTTTGCTTCCCATCATTCTTCAGCATTTTTCCTTTTTCTCTCTCCTTACAACCAGTACATACAGTGCACATTTGATAAATGTCATTAAATTATTTGAATCGAAAGTATATTTTGGGTTCTGCAACACTGAAAGTCATCAGTTTGTAGTTAGCATGCTAATTTAATTAAAATGTCGACCAGCCATGTAATGTATTGACAGCTGATCCGCTCACCAAGGTCAGTATCAGTACAATGCCCAGCTTACTTAATACTAGCTACCTACTTTGCATAGTTCATTTCTCTATGCTTGTGTCCACTTTCCTCCTCATCGTGCTCTTCTCCATCTTCTCAGTTGTTGTGCTTCTACCTACTCTCTTCATTGCTCTCTGCCTATCCATTCTCAATATATCTGTTTTCTTTATGCACCCTCCATCTTTTTCTCTGCTGTTGGATAGAGGAGCCCCATTCAGTGAGATGCAGACCTGGGATCTTCCTCTGCCCCAGCTCCCCCATCCTTTCCACAGACACTCTGTCCCTTCCTGGTTCTGGCTCAGTGGGCTGTGGTCGTGGCTCTAATCCCAGGGCAACCACCTCAGCCCCACTCTCCTCCATCCAGTCAGACTCTGCCTTGCTGAGAAAGAGCGTGTCCTTCACTGAGGACCTGCTGCTGGCAGCCTCCGGTATAGTAGGCCTGCTGTGTGTCACCGAGTGCCAGAACCTTATAACAGTGAAGTGTTGGCATCTCACTCATTTGATGGGTCAACAGCAGGACTGTTCACACCCAAATTGTCTTGACTGGTTTTGTCAGAAACACTAACTGCTCACAGTCCACAAAACTACTGTGAGAGTCCTATTCTGAATACCTTAACTCCCAGCATGTGGTTTGATGTATTTTCTAGTGCACTAAATGATCAGAATAAGTTAGTCTGAGGTTCATGAGGCTGAAGATCATTAGGTTTTTTTTCATCCAAGTTCAACTTTCTCTTGATTTGTTTTAACATGAATGCTGCAATGTAATAATCACCTGACAGTTTGTTTGTCTTTGTGTTCGGCTGACTTTTGTGTTTAAAATGACAAAACTGAAGCCAGGCTCTCCTCTGTGATCAGGAATGGGCAGTGGAGGCAGCGCCGGGAAGGAGGCGGGACCTCTGAGGACCCTCCTCAGACAACAGACGCAGACAGCTCTTGAGCAGCGGGTACGGTGACAATGGTGTCACTCATCGTCCACGCTTACAAACAATTAATTACTAGCTCACTACTGGTGCAGACACCTGAGACTGAAATGCAATGTCACAGCTGACGAGCCATTTTGGAGAGTTGAGGGTTTGACATTTGTGTTGGCGTTGCATATCAGCCTCAGATCTCTGTGCAAATGGTGAGTTTTAACACAGGTGCATTCTTTGTGACAAATTCATAACTGACATTGGAGAGGTGTTTAATGGGGATCGGTCTGTGTAAGACCAAGTAATGTTCCATTTTTTGTGTCTCGACCACTTATGCTATTCAGGGAGCGTCTTCCTCTGGGTTATTGTTAAACGCCAGGGTATGTCCCATCAGTGTGACACCTTCTCACTCTCCACCTTTCCCTTGAAACCCTAACCAAGCGGATGACCACCACCTAGCCTGAGTCAACTCCTAACCTAGCTCTTTTTTTAAATTTTTTTTTATTGCTCTGCACCCTCCAAACCCTAAAAGATTGACAAACATGTAAGGCAGAGTGCCTGAGGTTAGGAGTTGGGCTCCCTTCTTGTTCGAAGGGGTGTGTTTGAGACTGTTCGTGTTTCGTCTGGATATTCATCTCAAGTGCCTCCCTCCTTCCAGAAAAATTTCCCGAGTTTGACTTTTGGTTTCCCGTATCAAAAACAGGAATGAGCATACTCATCTCATCAGCTCATTCTTGTGACCTGGCTCAGAGTGGGAGGAGCTGTCAGACAAATTGGAAGACATCTTCCTTTTGTGGAGTAGTGGATACGATTGAAATTTGTGGCATTCCCACCTGATTTCTGATCACTGAAGCCATCCATCACATACTGGTCCTGCATGGCTGGGAATCACTACGTCCCTCTGCTTTTCTGTAAGAGTGTTGTCTCTTCAACTAAGAATGAATACCAGCAGGCTTTGTTTCCTGCTCCTCGTGTGAGTGAATGCATGGATTTGCATCACATTACTTGGCTAGAGACAGAAGACCAGCTGTGTTCTTAGTGGGCAGAGACAAGCATGTAAATCAGAGTAATGATTCACAGCCGCAAACTACTTTGTCTGTCTTTGTCCTTCACTTTCAGCTCCAGACCTAATGAATGCATGTGTATACAGTAGACTCAAAAGAATTCAATCACTACATCAGTGACACTAAATACCTAGGCTTTCATAGATGTTTTTCTCAATCATTTCCAGCTGTATTTGAAATGCTTTTGAGTTTTATTCCTACATGGGTAGGCTGTAGTGGGGAATCTCAGTGGACAAAACCTGCATGGGGGGCTCATCACACTCTGTCCTTGGTGCATGTTTCCACTTATCCTATACCTGCTGTAACTTAAGTCTACATGCATCATGTTTTAGACTTTAAAAACAGTTTTGATTGATAATCACCTGCTTCAGTGTGTATTGGAAGAGGAAAAAATGTGAAGTTTGATATCTGGTTCTGCTTTAGGATTTTCCAATTTCTTAGTTTTTGCATAGAATTGATACTGTGAGGTTTCTGGGGTTGAAAAATATTAAAAATATAGGATGATCTCTATTCAAAGTATTTACAAATTAATTTTTTTTGTTATGCAATATAAAGATCTTATTAGTAGTGTGCAAAGGTCTTGAGCTAGCCCTTGTTTTTTTTCTGGGGGGTTTTTGTGTGTTTTTTTTAAACTAAATTACCTCCAAGCAGGAAGTAGGTGGTTTTGAGCAGTAGTTCTCCAGTGTTCTGAAAGTCTTTCTAGGTTTTTTGATTTGCATGTTGGCTGCTTTTTCATTCATTTTCAGTCCAGTCCTTGTACGTGATAGTTTTTCTTATTGTTTTTGTCAAGCCACTAAAAACTGATGTCTTAATCATGCAAACATAAAAAGGAATTTAACCCACATATGTCTGCACATTACAGTCAACTTGGCAAAGAAACATTTTTAAGTTGTATCTTTAGGGACTTTTTTACTAGCAGACCATGAGAAAAAAAACACTTTGTTCACTTTTATTTAGTTGACTCTATGAAAAATTGCAAATGTAACATGATTAGATAGATGTATTTTTGCACCAACAAGGTGATTTTTAAAGAGCTATTAGCTGAGAACCAGATGAACAGTAATTGAAATTCATATATTAAAAAAAGGAAATAAAATCCAGCAAAGACCTGACACAGGACCTCGCTGTGGCTTAATTTTTCAGCACAACAGTGATTCCAAACACAAAAGAGTTAAAAGCATACATGGCTAAAAAAAAAACACATGAAGTGAAACATTAACACGTGAATGTTCTTTAAGAAGCCTGGAGAACTTTTCCTGAAGACTACTGAGAAGGACGCTTGGCTGAAAGACTTCACACTTTAGTGAAGATTTAAAGGGGTCCTATTGACCTTTCAGGCTAGTTAGAATTGTAAAAACTGTTTTTGCCTTATGTACTGTATTTCATTTATGTTTGTAGAATTCCCATTTTCTTGGTAAAATATAAAGAAATATAGGCTGACTCAAGACTTTTGCCCACTACTGTAGGTGTTGTATCTTATAGTGGTGTTTTAACCACCTACCTAACGCAGAACAAATTAGCCTTGTCAGCAAAAAGTAAATATTTGAACTCAGTTTTGAGTTGAGAACCTAATATTCACCAATGTATAAGTAAACATGAGACACAAAAATACTGGAAAGGCCCTTTCTGTAAGTGACCAGTGTGTGTGTGTTTTTTTTTTTTTTTAATTAAATGTGTAGGAGTTCCCCTTCTTCACCTTGACGTCGTTCCCGCCTGGTTTTCTGCTTCATGTTGGTGGAGTGGTCAGCGCTCGATCTGTCAAATTACTGGATCGGATACACAACCCCGGTGAGTTCAACACACAAAAGCACACAAGTTCCTAACGTAGCTCGTCCATCGCGCCATGAAAAGATAAGAGTGAGCTTTTTCCATTGACCCTACAGTGTTGTGTGTGTTTGATCTCGTTGCAAATGGCTGTTAGTCAATGCTACCCATTATCCTCTTGTGTTGCCAAATTTTTCCAGTGTATGGTCCTACTCCCAATTTGTTTGCAAAGGAAAAAAAAAACAATAAGTTGACGGTCAGACTTAAGTTTATCTGCAAGTCCTGTAGGTAGCAGGTGAAAGCTGTTCCTGGTCACGCCGATAGGCTGCGTCTGCAGTTTGTTCTAAACTTTAGGATGGGCTATCATCACATGTGTCAAACATTTTTATGGATAGGGGCAACTTTCACCTTGTCGTTTGACTCACTGGCTTTATGTAATTAATAGTCTGTGCTGGTCATGTGGTGGCTCTGTGTGTGTGCCTGTGCTGTGGTTGCTGTGTTGTTGTCGTGCACTGCTGCCCCCTGCGGCTGAATTGCAGTAGTGGCGCATGGCTCCAGTGTTTTGCCTGCTACTTCTGTTGTGTGTGTGGTTGGCTGTAGGTGGCAACATATCGGGGTGCTGTGGTGTCTTGATTAAGCTCTGCCAGCCTTTCTCTGTCTTTATTGAACTCAGTGTGTTGAATCTGTTCTTGTGTTAAGAGGGGCATAATAAATACACCTTCAAATGAGATTTACAGACATTTGCTCGTCAGGTGATCACCTGCCTGTTAACAGTGTTGAAATGCCTGAGTCCAGTTTATAGACTTAGTAGTTTTACCTTTTAGCTCAGTTTACTAATAGCCTACCAATATGAATGAAGGATGTCTGAGAATCTAATCAAAGGGGAGTGTTGATGAATGTGGGCTGGGTTAGGATAAGCAGGGCTCTTGTCAGAAGTGGACAGGGGAACTAAAATAAGACTGTAAAAAAGGTGCTGTGATTAAACCTGTAGTCTTGTTTAAATTAGACTCAATGACCCTGATTGAAACTCCAGGATTAACTTGGAAAGCAGTCTGAAAAGAGCCCTGTTCACTGTTGCCTTTCTACTACAGAAAAACATCAAAGGTACCCTGTGGAGTTTTTCTTCAAAAATAGCACCGGGGAGCAATATTTTTACAAGTGCATTACTTTTTTAGCTTGTTTTTACTTCGACAATAACAACAATAACTTAACAGTTATGCTCTGCTTAACTCAGGCTTGATCTGCTGGTTATTAGCAAAATACATTAGCTAATGCATGTAAAAGCACTTCATGTAATGTTTTATAAATGCATCCAAGGCCGTCGTTGTTGAATCACTGCAGCTAAATGTTGGCAACCCAGATGACTTCTATCACTCACTCAGGTTGGTCGGCCTGCTCCAGACTGGCACCGTTTGAACCTGTTGACTGATGATTTAAAATCGGAGCAGGGGGGCATTTACAGTAAGAACATGCCCGGTGCATTATGATGAGACGCATTCGTTTTTGTTTACGTGAAAACTCCACAGTGCGCCTACATGTACTTACAGTCGCTGCATGCTCCTTTTTGTGTTGTAGAGCTTCTCTTCTCCTTATGTTAAAAACAAAATAAGTAAATATAGCCTGACGCTTTTACTCATCTCAGTTCTCCTCTCTTCCTCATCAGTCTTTTTCTTCTCTGTCAGATTGTTTCAATAGGACCTAACTTAGTTTGTCGTTGCATTAGTGACTGTGAAGTGGTGTCTGTCTTTGCATAGTGATTGTGGAGTGCTTCCGTTGTGCTGTGTCGGTTTGTTAGACTGTCTCTTCTTTTCTTTTTCTCTCTTTTCTGTACTAACGGTGTGTTCTGGCCCAGCCTTGGGTAACACGCGCTCATACAAACTGCTAGACTGGAATAGTGTCACTGCAGGTATTTTCCCCCCTTTTAATGCTCTCACCCACAGGAATGATGGCAGCTCAATGAAATTAAACCCATGTCTGCTTAGTGTTAAACTATAACGCCCCCATAGAAAGCTTAAGTAGAATTCAGCATAGCCTCATATTGCTGAAAACTTCTGACTTCAGTGAGCTGCCATCTTCCTCTCTCTAATCTGTGTGTTTGCGTGTGTGTGTGCTGAGTTTAGTTGAGCATGCCCTGCGTCCCCACCCCATCCAGCCTGGCCTGGCTACCCCACACCCAGCTCATCCTGCTGCACAGAAGAGCTCCTGCTCTTCACTAACGTTGTCCCAGCGCTGTTTCTAACGCTTCCCGAATGAACATTGTGGTCAAACCTGTCTAGACCAGAGGAGGTTTAGGAGGTTTACTCTGTCACAAAGAGCCACTGAGGCATGTGCATCCTTAACTCACTGGGCCGTATTCATACTGAGAGAAAGAAAGCGAAAGAGAGAGAAAAGTGATGAATGGATGCATGGAAAGAAGTCGTTGGGGGGTGCAGTTGAGGAAAATTAACTGGATCTGGGACTTTACGGTGGGGATGGAGGGAAAGAGGTGAGCTGACTTAAATAATGGAGTAGATTTGATGGACTCTAGTGAATGAATATGGCCCTTCTCTGCCCATGACTGTGCACGTGGTCATGAGTGTGCACGTTGGTGAGCCTGTGCCTGTTTGACATAACTGCTTCTGGTTTAAAGAAACCCACCTCGTGGGCCTAATGCCTGACCATCAGTCATTGTTCTTCATCTCTTCAGTTTCACAGCCCATTCTTCTCACCCCCTCATTCATTCCTCTCCCCTGTCTCACCTACCATTTGAGTTTCTCTCTGTATTTGGGAGGCTCTGTCAGCATGTAGCGCTCCCAGGGAATCATGGGGTGAAGCTCAATACTCTAATGTAGCTTTTTTTTGGTCATGTCCTCTTTGTTCAATAGCCTAAAACAACCATATGAGTCAGATTAAGCTAGAGCTGGGCGATAGAACGATAACGATATGTATCGCGATATAACTTTTACTGATAGAGAAATTAAGCTATCGCGATAGACCTCGCCGCTCTTGTTCTCTTAAAAAAAAAAAAAAAAAAAAAAGGTCAGCCGATCCAAATTCAGTAGCGCAGAGCCGAACCAATCACAGCCGCAGCGTCACGTCGCGTGACTTGTTACGTACAGCACAAGTGCCAAGCCGCACGTGTGTTTGTTTGGGAAGCAGCCAGCGGGTAATGGAGCCAGCGCATAATGGAGGAAATGAGTGTGCCGACTAGAAAAATCAACCGAGCGTGACCGAAGAGAAAACAGATGATGGTTCCAATGCCGGAGAGATTGCCGAACGGAAGAGCCATAGAAGTTCCGTAGTTTGAAGCTATTTCAAGTCTGACAAAAAACAGAGTAGCGTGCACTGTAAATTGTGCCGAAAGCAAGTCTGGAAATACAATAAACTGGTGCATGCGTCACACTGTGCGCCACGTTATTGTTTCGGTGAAATGAATTTCTACAATACTGTTAATTCTACTCTCTGCAGTGTTTAAATGCTTACATATACACACAGTTACTGTCCGTCCACACATACGACTCGGTTCTGCTTCTATGCCCCAGCTTTGTTTACTTTTTCCCACCGAGGCTTCTAGACTTCTGATTGGCCAACATTTCTGCACGGTTAGGAATCTAGCTCCACCTGCTGCTTTGGCATGTTCATAGCAGCGTTTTCCTTCATTTCTGCCTTTATGTGTGGACGGGATTATTTTTTAAAACGAAAACGGAAAATCTCAGTTTTCAAAAATACCCGTGTACGTGTGGACGTAGCCTCAGTCTCTGACTGGAAGCGCTAATTCGTCATTCGGCTTTTGTCAGACTAAAGTAACTGTTAAAACTGTTTGAAAAGCTAAGCTATACAACAAGGAGAGATTGAGAATTTCCTTTTAGTTCTCAGTTTATTTGATACTGACAAAAGTTAGTCAGTTTTGTCTGTTCTTCTGTAAAACAAACTAAGATTTATTTTTAGAATTAATATTTTGTTTCTAAGTGGAATTGACAATTTAGTCTGTTTCATTTGTTCTATTTTGAAACTTAAACGCTTTAGCGGCTGTCTTTTGTGTAGTTTGCAATATTTGCCTTTATTTATCTGAAAAAGTCTCATGTTCCTTAAGTACATCTACCCTGTTGAACTTATTATGGGAAATAAATATTTAAAAACAAGCTGCTGATTATTTCACATTTTACTTGTGAGCAACGGCACATTTAAATCTTACAAATATAGTTATTTGGCTTATATCGTGATAGATATCGTTATCGCCTGAAATGGAAAAAACATATCGTGATATGAAAAAATCTCATATCGCCCAGCTCTATGATTAAGCTCTCAACTTGCAATGATTTGGCTTTAAAGAAAAAGATGTTTGGAGCAAAGCCTCATGAGAATATTGAAACACACCCATGGTTTAGCATAAGTATGATGAAGGCTCGATCGCTTTAAAATTACTAGCTTTGTCACCAGGATAGGAAAGCACGTTTAAAATTAGGCGTAGTGTCTTCTCTTATACCAGATTTTCTATCTATACTAGCAGAGCCACATAATGGCTGGTGGCTGTGTCCTTTCGGTTAGTGCAGCTGGCTGAAAGGAGACAAAGAGAAGGGAGACATGAACATTTATATGATGTCCACTAATGAACTAATCTTGTCTGACCATTGACTCTGCCTTCATCATCATCATCTCTCTGAAATTCTCACAAACCATTTTCAGTGTCAGTTTGTTTTACAAACTCACGGTTGGTTTTGGCCTGCTTTGATACACTGATTAACCCATAAAACATCAGAAAATACAAACTGTAATGTTGGCTGTTTGTTGATTTTCTGGTAAGTCAAAGCAGTCAGATTAGGCACCGGATTATGCACAGATTTCCTGTTAGTGTTGTTTGGATTTGTGAGGGTACTGCATTTTTAACCTATATTTTAGTGTTCAGTGAGGTGTTTTGATAAATAATTCAGTTAGAAATGCCTCGTGAAGGCTGTTTGATTTAGAATTGTGTGTTTCGCAGATGAGCCCGAGACTCGCGATGCCTGGTGGGAGGAGATTCGCCAGGAGATCAAATCTCATGCCAGAGCTCTCGGTTGCCATGCGGTTGTAGGGTACAGTGAGAGCACAAGCATCTGGTATGTACTGCGTAAACACACAGAAAAGTGATGCACTTTAATCCCGAGTTTGGTACAAAACACTTGGATCCTTGTGATTTCTCTCTTTGTGTCCTGCTCTCATTGCGCCTTTTTGTTTTTCTCTTTTCATTTCTCCCATTGGCTCAAAACAGCGAGGAGGTGTGTATTCTGTCCGCATCTGGCACAGCAGCCATCTTGAATCCTCGGTACATGCGTGAAGGCTGCCTGGACATCGGCTGCACCGACCACAGGTTGGTTTCTTTTTTTCTTATTGTTCAGCTCAAAGTCTCGGACAGTCTGAATGTCAGTCATCACGTGTTTATGACAATGCACCTTTTTGGTTTTTGTTGTTCTCCAGGTTTGAGGAGCCATCGCCACCGAACTGTGGCTTCTGTCACATCCCGTACGATGAGCTCAACATGCCCTTCCCTGCACAGCTCACCTATTGTTACCACTGTAGACGACAAAAGGTATCAAATACAGTTAATTTCTTTTTAGGTTAAATAAAAGGTTTCTGCTCTTTAAAAATATCAATAACTACTGCCTTTTTTTGTAAGGTTCCTGATGTGCTCTTCACAACAATTGACCTGCCATCAGAAGCAGCTGTTGCAGGAAAGGGCTGCCTTATCCAGGCCAGGTATAACACCTCACAAACCCACAAACCCTTCTTGATATTAGCAGAAAAGGAGTTAAAAGGCTTTAAAAAAATATTACTTAGGGAAAAAAACACACAAATCAAATCTATAAAAGTAAAGAATATTACAAGCATTTCACTCTATAATCTAGCTATAAATTATAACTTTTACAGTAGATATTTCAGATAACATAATTTATAAGACCCAATATTCTTCAGTGGTATCATGTGGACTAAACAATACACCTCAGACGATGCATTTTGACATCAAAGGAAGTTATCAAAGTGAGCAATTTTGACCAATCAAGGTCAATTTTAGACCTCAATTGGGTTCAGTCAAGCAGGTTTTCTATGAGTGAATCAATGCACCTTCAATGCCAGTGCCTCTTATCTGTCAGGCTGTGCCGTCTAAAGAAGAAAGCCCAGGGAGAAGCGAATGCAACGGCCATCTCTAACCTGCTGCCTTTCATGGAATATGAGCTACACACTCAGCTGATGAATAAGCTGAAACTGCGGAGCATGAACGCGCTGTTTGGCCTGCACATACAGATCAGTGTTGGCGAGAACATGCTCCTGGGTCTGGCTGTAGGTTAACCTTTCATGCTAACAAGTGATTATGTCGCTTTTATGTGTGGTGGATCTTAATCGAAGAAAACGTGTGTGTGTTCAGTCTGCTACAGGTGTGTACCTGACAGCTCTGCCTGCTCCAGGGGGTATCCAGATAGCAGGGAAGACTCCAGGAGACTTGAGCAGCGAGCATATATCATCCATTCAGAAAAGGATTAATGACACCATAGCTGTGAACAAAGAGCTCTATCAAATAAATCCTCCGGTGAGACAGTCAACACTTGCTGATACAGTGAACTTATGGAAGCTGATCTTTGTGATAAAGCCTGAAAAGTCTCACCTTTCAGGGCAGGTTTGTGGTAATGTAGGTTTGTTTCCAACTGCAGTAGCTGTGGTGTCATGTATGAAGCCTTTTAGCACAACAGAACTAAAAAAGTTAAAATTTATGATGTTCAGACATGGTAAAAACTTACCCTGATGAATACGCTATAACATCACTGTTTGTGGTCATTTTATACTGCAACAAGTGGGAACAGTTTTCACATTTTTTTCTACTTTGAAAGAAAAAGTATCTACGGTCTATGACCAAGAATATTAAAGACTAGTGCATTGTCATCAGGCTTTTACATTGTATGGACAATACTAGTGTTTTCCATTATTTTGGTGATATTTTACAGTGTTAAAAAACATTTTATGAGACATACTATACAGTCCAGACTATAGTTATGTGGACAGTTACCTTTTTATTTTGTTCTCCAAGCTTTGTTGATTGGATACAACATTAAAGGGTCAAGATTTACAAAGATTCAAAGTGCCCGGCCAACTGGAAACTGTTTCCTGGGTGGCTGTGTGTCATGGCTCAGAGCTGACTATCAACACTTAACCTTCAGTTACAAGTAGAAGTTATGTGTCATTAAATGAGAAGAGAGGAATTGAACATGAAAGAGAAAGAACTCCATGTTGGTATTTGTTTTCCAGAAAATCTGAAAATCATGGTGAAGGAAAAAAAAAAAAACTTGCTGAAAAGCAAGCCAGAAATGCTTCACAAGTACATAACTTGTTCTCACCTTTTAAAGGAAGAATTCGTGACCAGATTAATTCATGATTAAAGGATCAGAAGAACAAAGGGGCCAAGTCATATGTGTATATATATCTAGATCAGGGGTGGGCAATCCACGAGGGCCGGTGTCCCTGCAGGTTTTAGATCTCACCTTGGGTCAACACACCTGAATCACATGATTAGTTCATTACCAGGCCTCTGGAGAACTTCAGGACATGTTGAGAAGCTAATTTAGCCATTTAAATCAGCTGTGTTGGTTCGAGGACACATCTAAAACCTGCAGGGACACCGGCCCTCGTGGACTGAGATTGCCCACCCCTGATCTAGATAGCTAGATAGATAGATCTTTTGACTTAAAGCCCCCTCTCTGTTATTGTTTCAGCCCATATGGCTGTGTTTGCTAATGTCATATTGCTAGTTGTTAATTAATTCACTGCTGAAAAAAAGCATAGGGACGAGTGTGCAGGTGTGCACTGTAGATGAATTCTCTAGATGCATTAAAAATGGTCATCAGGCACATAGCCGAAGCAACCAAAGAGCCTTCCAGGGTGAAGAAGTGAGCTGTCTTTCAATCGCTGTGTTAATCACTTGAGCCAAATCTGTTTGAGACCTATTCAACTTGCTGAAGGTCAGATTAAAGAAAGAGTCCCTAAACGTTGTCTGCCGTGCATAGGAAGCAGTCCTTTCCATACTGATGCACACCTTCTCAAGTGAAATCTAAGACTTGACACTTTAATGTAGTACATGTCATCTTATTTAAATCCTCTGTGCTGAAGCTGAACAACTTCTAACTGTCCATATATGCCTGGGCTGTATATTCTGTTCTTTGTGAATCGTGATAAACTTACCCCTCTTGTCTCTCTCTGATCATTAAAGAAATTATTTGCCCTGGACCCTGAGGTGTTCTGCGGCATAAACATGGTACTGAGCATGCCAACCTTTAGCTGTGAGACGCAGCAAAGCATGACAAGTGTTTCACACTATTAATCTCACACTATTAATTGCAGCTCTTAACTGGGGACTTTTTTTGTGTGTGGGGATAATACATAACCCACACCAGAGTCACCTCTTCAGATGACTCACTGCAAAGTCATTTTATAAGTTGTTAACGTACTTTGATTATGTCCATCTCCCCTGACCAATCACACTCTCCCCTGCATATATATTTGTGTGTGTGCGAGTGTGCGTTTTCCCAAATTAACACCAACCATGAGTGTGTGTCAGTAAAGTTGACTGGGTGAGTGAGAGCATGTGGATTGTTACTAACACAGTCATTCTACTAGTTACAGTACAGATGTACAGATGTTAGATACAGATGTGATCTTCTGCGGTGTTCTGGTTTTCTCTCTGACGTCCCGTCTGCTCGGACGCTGCGTCTGTTTTGCTTGCAGGAGCTTGCAGAGGAAGGGGTGGGCTCTCCAATCCCTGAGCCAAGGCATCGATCCAGACTTTTTCGCTCCCACTCGGAAAGCTCAGACGAGCTATCAGAACTGGATCTGTCCCACGGCAAAAAGGATGCCTTCGTCCTGGAGGTGTGTATCTGTACAAATCAAATCAGTACACGCCAGTTGTAAATGCCAGTTTAAATGGTGACAATGTTTGATCACTCCTATAGATTGATGACACCGATGCCGTGGAGGATATCCACTCCCTCCTGATCGATGCACCTCCCCCCACAGGTACATGCTGCACACTCACTCTGGTTCAGTTACAATGGATCGTTATGCACTGCACACAAGTTAATAATTCAGTCCAAGCTCTAGCAGGTGCCATTGTTTCTGTGCTTCATTGCATCTGCTTCAATGTCTTCAGGTTTCTACAGCTGCAACACTGAAAATATGCCTGGGATTTCTAACTGGACTTCAGGAGTACAGGTACGTACTGAACGTAGTTGTAGCAATACTAACCATTATTGCAGAATAATTATTTTAGAAATAAATACAATTAAGTATTAATTCAGATCTGTGTAAATCTGTGTCATCCTTTATGTTGACAGATGTTTACATCAGTGAGGGTTTTGAGGTTGAGCAATGCCAATCTTACTAACCAAGGCTTAAACAAGATCTTTACTGACCTCTGTGAGAACCTGCTGAAGGTAAGAAACCATCATGGAGCAGGTTTCACACTGGCACTGTTTTTTGGGGGGGTTTTTTTCTTAGTTGAACTTGCTATGGTTGTCTGTGTTTAGTTTTGGGTTTTACAAGTCTACAATTCATCATGTTTGTTTCAGAGTTTTTACTTCAAGCTGCGCTCTATGATCCCCTGCTGTCTTTGTCATCTCAACTTCACCGTAGCAGTGCCAGAAGAAGAGCTCATACAGGTGAGACAATTCAGGCTATCACTCATTTGTCAAGCTGCCAGAGCAGTGAATGTAATTGAGAGAAAAAATTTTATCTACTGCTGTTCCTCTGCTCGTCTCCCTGCGCAGGTCACAGTGACAGCCGTTGCCATGACCTATGACAAGGAACAGACTCAGGAGAAGACAGCTGAGAAGCCCGTCAACAAAGGTCAGTCTCTCTGTTAATTTTACTTCAGTTAAAGCTCTGCTCAGATGAAGGAAAGCTTTCACGTCCAGTTTAATACACTCAGTACTCATCAGTCAAGGAAAAAAAATTTCAAGCTGCATCTATGAAGTGAGCCACTACTTGACTCCAAATAATGCAATAACTCAGCTTAGGTAAGTTGATATCAATATTGAGCAAAGCTGAGAATTATTGCATGATTATTAGTGAAGTAGGAAAACAAATATTCTTTTAGGATCTAAGCCAGGATGTCAAACTCATTTTACACGATAGGCCACATACAACCCACTTTGGCTGATTCTGGCCCCTGAGGTCTTATGTTTGACACCCCTGCTCTAAATAGTGTATTGCTTTTTAGAAACATCCCTGCTAGTGCTGTGTGTAAAGTTGAGTGTGGTTTTTGTGTGTATCTTTTTAGGGAGCCTTGAGGCTGAAGAGCAGCTGCAGTTTCCCCTGGAATTGTGTGCAGACTCGTCCTCTTCCAACATTCAGACAGCATCCAAAATCTCAGGTATCTTTAACTGTATTTTTACCTCCCTTACCTCCGTTACCCTGCTTCACTAAACAGGTATCACCCATCTCGTCCACTAACACATCAGATACAGTCTCTTTATTCACCCCAGCTGCAAAGCTCTGCCAAAACCAGCTGCTTATAGCCCGATCAGCAGGTAAATGAACTGTAGTAGACAAGTGAGAGTTTGTTTTGCCGTGAACTTAGATAACAGTCTGTGACGCTGTCTAGAAGAGACTTTGTGTTGGTGACCCCCATTTGCATTAGGCTAACACAGCCATGGGATAATGGGGTGGGGGTGATGGTTAAAGCTAGGCAGCGCCTGCTGTGTTCGCCTTGTGGCAGTAATTGGTTGTTACTGAACTTTTCTCACCTTCCGACAAGGACAAAGTTAGACTGTGATGGTGTGTGTGTGTGTGTGTGTGTGTGTGTGTGTGTGTGTGTGTGTGTGTGTGTGTGTGTGTGTGTGTGTGTGTGTGTGTGAGACAGGTGTTGGAGAAAGTACCAACATGTCACCCAGAGGTAAGCTACCTTCTTGTCTTTTATTTTCCCAGCCCCTTCTCCCGCTACCGAAACTACTACACTGCCCTGTTTTGACTTTTCATCCTTTAGTCTCGGACAGAGTTATCCTGCACAGCTCCCAACCCTCATCCAGTTTTGTTCTTTTCTGTTCGTTTGTTTTGTGTTCTGTTTTGTCTTTTCGTTTTCTTTTCTTGTTGTTGTTGTTGCTGTTGCGTTTGTGAATGCACGTGTGTGTGTGTGCGCGTGTGTGTGTGTGCGTGCGTGCGTGTGTGTTCTCTCCAGCTGCCTCCGTTGATTACGGTTCCTTTGCAGACAGATGCAGCACCTGGCTAGAGCTGCTTAGGCTGAAAGCTCACACCATAAGACGAGGATCAGTTAAGACAAGTAGGAGGACACAGTCTCTAGCACACTCTGGTGATCATACCCACAAATACAGAACACGGTTCACAAGCGGTCACACATACGCGCACACACCCCTCCATGCATGCCACTGGGGGGCGGAGCATTGTAAATCAAGCACCAGCTTTGTTTTTGTTTTTTTGGCTAGAGTGTGAAAGTTGACGCCCCGCCCCTCAGAGGGATCCACAATTTGCAGCTTGCCAAAAACAGTGTGTCACATTAGAAAGGTTTTTGCATTTTGTGTGCAGCATTTTTCTCAAATAGCTTGTTGGTTGCAGCAATTTCATGAGAACCTCCGGAGGGTTCCTTTTATTCCCCTCCCCTGCTTTTGCATCACTGATTCTTCTTATGCTTGGAAGATAGGAGGAGACACTGTATGAATGCTAAAGGATTTCATGTCTGATTTGTTTGGGAACACACTGATAATCACGGTGGGGCGGGGGTCAAAGCTTTTCTGCAAGAGCTCGTGTGACTTTTCAGATCTGTGCATGTTAAGTAAACTACAGTCTAATATGTGGCTCTGAAGGTTCCTGGTTTGATGGATGTAAGCCACATCAGGTAAATTTGCAATAAGATATTGGAGCATCTTTCACACTCTGGCTTGTGTACATGTGCCCAGCCTCAGCCTCACAGCTGTTTCTGTCTGTCTCCATGTCTGAAGCCTTCCTCACAAATGCCAACATATAGAATAAAATCTCTCATGTACTTTGCTGTAAGCACTCTATTCACACTTGTAAACAGCTGTGCCCAGGTCTGTCTCTCTGTCTGCAGACATGTGTAATTGTTTGTTTGCATCAACTGCATGATATGCATGGCAGCGCACACGCGCCAAGTGATTGTCTATTGCATTCTCAATGCTGCATGTAAATCTAACAAACACACACACATGCCTAAGCACATGTAAGTGCACATTTTACTCTTGCTGTGCAAACCCTAACAGCTGAGTTTCTGCATTTTCATTCCACTATGACATTTCTTTCTGCTTCAAGGCTCATGTCTGCTTTTAATCTTTCCACTAGTTTTGAGTTTTTTCTGGTATCTCCATTCCCGTTTTATCTCTTCTTTTTCTTTATATCCCCTCTCCTCTCTTCTTATTTTTCTCTTCACATCTCCCACTTGCTTCTGCCTACACTCTCTCTGAACCTGCAGTCTCATCTTTGGAGCGCTGCAGTCCACTTCAAGAGGGACGTTCCCGCTCGCTGCGCTCCAGTCGCTCGTTTGGAGGCAGCTCGGTAACGGTGGTGAAGATGACGCCGCTCTCCTTCCTTCCCGGGACACGCATCATTAAATACCTTGGCATTATCAACATGTTTTTTATCAGAGAGACGACATCATTACGGGAGGTACGAGCGACGTCAGTAAAATATCCAAAGTCCCGCGGTCATTTTGCGCAGTTTTAAACGTAAAGTGTGTTTTTGTTCTGTGCAGGAAGGCGGTGTCAGCGGCTTCCTTCACTCATTCATCGCAGAGGTGTTTGCGATGGTTCGAGCCCATGTAGCGGCCCTCGGCGGCAATGCAGTTGTGTCTTACAGCATGAAAGAATGTGTGTTCATGGAAAATCCGAATAAAAATCAGGTGATATAAACTGCACATTACTAACAGGCGGTTTATCTCAATACTGGCTGTTCAATTGATTAAATTTTGTGTACTTGTTCTTCTCTTAGGCTCAGTGTCTCATAAATGTAAGCGGTGATGCGGTTATCTGCATCAGCGAAACAGACCAGGAGTCCTCAGCATCTACGGCAAATACTGGACAGACCGGTGGCAGTGAAACTGATGGGGCTACATGACAATGACACTGGTCCCCAATTCTGGCTCCAAGAAACACACACTAAGTCAACACACTTTAAGTCTAGCCGTCCAAATCTGACTGACTTATGTTTGCCTTAAAACTCTATAAAAGATCCAAAGGCTTGGACACAGCGAATAAAGAACCATTGCTCAAGCATGCAAAGCAATCTATATTAATATAGGAGTGTGGGATGTTTCTTTTTTGTTTAAAGAGAACATATTTTGCAGGACATATTATGGAATTTCAAAGTATTTAAAAACATTTAATTTAAAACCAGTCACCGACTCCTTACACCTAACCTTCATATTAAAGCCATCCATGCTGGGGTCACTCGCAGCCACGGTATATTGGTCATCCAGTCGGGTATGAGTAAGGCAGCTATGACTGATTTGTCCATCCACGGATCACAGATGTCGCTCAATGACTGAAGTAAAAGGGATACAAGCTAATGATTTTAAAACACAGTCAAATTCTTACTCAGTTATTTTCATCCCATGTGTTGAGCACCAAGTGAACAGATTATGCATCAGGCAAGGCAAGTGTTTAAATTTCAACTGAGTGGTGCTCTTTCTTAAACTATAGAAAAAATAGCCTGAAGTGGAAAATTTTGAAGCTAATTCCAAAGAATCCAGGTGGACATGTGATCCGTTCACTGTTGTCCAATTTTAATGTTTTATGTCTAAACTGGGCTCATGTTGAATTTTTGAGAATCTTGCTAATTAGTTTTAAAGTGTTTCTCAGAGGAAGTCCAAAATTGTTCTGCAAGTGTGGAACGATGGTGTCACAGCTGTATTTCTGGGAGGAAACTCATGTTACATGCATATAGATAACACAAGCCAAAATTACAGGTGTTATATGCACATATTTTTGTAGAGCAATAACTCCCTTTAGAATAGCCATTACCATATATTCAGTATAAAGCTATTTAAAACTATTAGATTATATTGCTTTATCTTAAATTCAAGTGGCATAGCAGGTATGCTTTTTATTCACATGCAACTGGAGTGAGCAGGGAAATGGTGACAGGTGTGATGTCAGATGAATACAAACAAAACTGGTGAGTTGATATAAAGCGGGTCTTTGGGATGTCGTAGCAGGGATCTGTAATAGAATATAAAAAATGAGGTTGTTTTGAAGTATTTAAACCTTGATCTCTGGGTATCGAAGCAACTGACGTCCTCTTGATGCATTTATCTGTGTGTGTCAAATTTCACATACCTTCGCCAAGCTTAATCGCTGTTTCGTGGGCACTCGTGTTTATGTTTAGAGTCTTGCTGCTGGTCTTCTGTCTATTGTGGGGGGGGGGGGGGGGAGCAGCTACAAGTGTCTGTGCCACCTGAAAACAGACTGTAAATGTTCTCCAAAAAAAAAGAGAAAAAAATCAGATTTCTAGTATTTTTGTAAGTTAAAGAGTCCTACTACTTAATTCAGCTGTGCAATGAGTTTCATGATGTTTTTGTGTCACTGTGTCAGAGGATTAGTGGTACTCTGTTTTGTGTGTGATCAGCTGTTTGTGATTAGTTTCATATGTTTGTGTCTAAAACTTGAATGTAAATACTTGGAAGCTTTGGCTCTTTGACTAGCAGCATGCAGACCCATTTTTTTTTTTTATTGCCATGACCCTGTATGCTTGCCTGATAGGTCTTGCACAATAAACCTGAGTCAAAGTGACAGCTATTGCTTTCTTGTTTTTATTGTTATTTGTTTAATTTGATGAGCTATAAAAATAGAACGGGATCTGTAGTTGTCTTTTTAAAGATTATTTCTGCCAATACAAAAACAAAAAAAACCCTCCCCAAACCATAATTTTTTTAAAAAAAAAATTTCATTAGAATTTCAATAAATAATGTATTTATTTATTTTTTGTAGCCGTAGAAACAACCTTCTGAAGTCGTGACCCTGCGTTTTATTTTATTTTAAACATTCTCAAAGTTTATTCTTCTGTTTGTATCGTTTTGTTTATTTTGCATTCAGCTTCATAGAATAAACGTGAGGTATCCCTCGAAATAAGTGATGAAAAATATCAGCTATATGAAAATATAAAAAATAAATGTATACGACATTGATTTGTTCTTGTAAAATGTATTTTATTAATTATGATCTGATCGTCAGAAACAAGCTAATCCTTAAATCGGGTTATATATCTAAATTCCCGTGTACCTTTAACGCACCACACCGTTCAAGCCACCTGCAGCGGCACCTAGCGACCATTCGGGTGAATTTAGCGTAAGCAGCTCGTTTCTACGTGTCCCCCAGCTACGTGAAATCCCGCTCCCAGCTTCCACAGGAGTAGCAGCGATAGGTGAAGGGGTAAAAAAAGCAGAACGGGAGTCGGTCAAACATGGGGGAAGTTGTTCTGCCACGCCGCATGTTCCTCTGGTGCATGGCGGTCATCTACTTGACTGCTTTTGTTTCCCTCTACGTGCAGATACCAGGTGAGCCTCTCAACTCTGCAGCCCAAGAAGCGGCTAGCTGACTTCCCTTAATGTTATGTGTTAGCCTGTTAGCTGGGAACTTGGCGCTTCCTGTGTGTCCGTTCCTCTGCTTTCCACGCCGTTAGACGTGGTGAAGAACCGCCTGGAAGTTTCTTCATCCCGGGCACGGTCAGCCTGCAACTGGGCCAAATTTACAAGCAACCTGTTGTAAAAAAAAAAACACATACGGTGGCATTTTGAGTCACAGCACACCCGAACTATGTTTTTAATGTAAGGGGTATCTCTGCAGCCCAGTTAAGTTAAAAAAAAAAAAAAAATTTCCTCCGCCCATATTTGAAAGGAAATGTATTTGGGCTATTTTTTAATTTAGTCGCAATGGCAACATGACTTTCCACTGCAAAGGTTACTACTGTTTATTTTCGTTAATTTTTACGCCATAGTACATACATTTGCAACATTGTTAAACTTGTTAAGAACTGGTGGTTATAATAAAATATTTTCATTCATTTTACTTATAGAACTGCATCACATATGTATGACCAGTGTTGTTATTTTTCGATTCCACCCAGCAGGTCACCAGATTATAATGACTCAGATTATAATCTCCAGCACTGAGAAGTAAAATTCATTAAAAAGAGTAACATAATGAATCCACTGCTCACCACCAGCATAATCAGTACTGTTGCTTTCCGTGTTTGTGTGCAGGTCTGTATGGAAATGAGGGGCTGCTCCCTGCCCGCTGGCAGCTGCGATACAGCGGGAAGCCTCTGGTGGAGCAGCTGCTCTCCTCTCCCACGCTGTTGTGGCTGGGACCTCGGCTTGGCCTGGACACTCACACTGCCATGGAGCTGCTGTGTCTTATCGGTGCGGCACTGAGCCTTGCTGCCACGCTGGTGGAGGCTTTTCGAGACAGTGTGGTGTTCTTCTGCCTCTGGGTCTTGTACCTGTCTATGTATGAGGTGATTTTGCACGGTGGTAATGCGCTCTTCTGTTTTTTCCTGTCACAGTATTTCTCACTAAACTTTTGTCTGTTACAGGTAGGCCAGGTTTTCCTCTACTTCCAGTGGTGAGTGCAATGCAGTTCATTTTTTTCCTGAATACCACACAGCTTCTAAAACAGCAGCTGCTTAAAGGAGATCATTTTATCAGTGTGCTGCAAGGTCTCTGCTGCTGTGCAACACTGTTGTAGATGCAATTTCTTACTAGTCTCTCCTCTTGCTTTGATTGCTTGCTTTTCAGGGACAACCTGCTCCTAGAGACGGGGTTCCTCTGTATCCTTGTTGCTCCCCTGACTTTAATCGGAGGGTCACGAGGGGTCAGAGAGCACGATCGTGTCACCTTCTGGCTTACTCGCTGGCTGCTCTTCAGACTCATGTTTGCATCCGGGGTGGTGAAGCTAACCTCACGTTGTCCCACCTGGTGGGGCCTCACAGGTACGGATGAGTGACTGTATGGATGCCATTTATGCTGTCTTTACACAGTGGTGTCATGTTTTCTTTTCCCATTTCATTCTGTCATTTTCCTCCATCTGATTACTCTCTCCCTCTTTTTGCTGTGTGTTGAGCAGCCCTCACGTATCACTACGAGACTCAGTGTATCCCAACCCCTCTGGCCTGGTTTGCCCACCAGTTGCCGGTGTGCTGGCAGAAGCTGAGCGTGGTGGGAGCCTTCGTTATCGAGATCGCTGTTCCGTTCCTGTTCTTCAGTCCACTGCGGAGGCTCCGACTTGGAGCTTTTTACTTGCAGGTGAAAAGAAATGAATTTTTTCACGTTTTGCTTTAGTTTCACCTGCAGTATTATCAACTTCAATGTTAGCTCTAAAATGAAATCAGTCTGTTTTCTCTCCTCGTGTAGGTGCTGCTTCAAGTCTTCATCATTTTGTCTGGCAACTACAACTTCTTCAACCTGCTGACTGTGACCCTCTGTCTGTCACTTCTGGATGATCGCCATGTCTATTTCTGGTTGCGCAAGGCATACAAGACTGATAACGGGAATGATGGTATGAAACTTCATTGCACAGCTGCAGCCCAGGCGATGTTTCGTAGGCTAAGGCGTAGCTGTTTGTCACGAAGAATGCACATTTTGTTTTATCTCAACTTCCTTCAGACTAAAAGAAATATTGAGGACAAACTTTGCTCACTCTCTCTCTCCACTGTATTTAGACTCAAAGCTGTGGTCGTGGCTGTGTTACCTGCTGGAGCTGGTGGTCTGGGCTCTGCTGATTGTTGGAACAATCATCTGCTTTGACCTGCATCTGGATACAGCTAAGAAAGGCATCTCCTCGCGGACAGGTGAGTGTTTCTTTTTTTTTTTCTTTTTATGTGCCTGTAACCAATTTTGCTTCTCTTTTTTCATGTTCCTTAAAATGTCCTTGGCAGCATTTACATACCACCAGTTTAACCTGTTTCTGAAGACCGTCACTATTCCCTGTATCTGGATCGGTGTCCTCTCACTCACCTGGGAGATGGTTACCTCTCTCTTCAGGTAAGATTGACCTATAAATGGTTGTGATGTGTTGCTTGTTGAGCAGTTGCCTTTTAGATGTTGTGCAACTTAACATCTAACTTTTATTTCTAGGTGTGCGTGTGTGTCTGGTTTCTTTAAGAGGTTTTGGGGAACGGTCCAGTGGACGGTGTTCGCAGGGGCTGCAGCTTCAATGTTCGCTGTCAGCCTGGTGAGTTCTGTTGGAAACATGGGAACTGATAAAGCTCATAAGCGATCAGCTGTAAATCGCCTGATTCTCTTTCAGGTGCCGTTTACCTTCATAGAGTACGATTCCAACTCCAGGTTGTGGCCAGGAGTGCGCCAAGCCTATGAGATGGTTGATCGCTATCAGGTAGTCAACTCGTACGGTTTGTTCAGAAGGATGACCGGAGTTGGCGGGCGACCCGAGGTTGTCATTGAGGGAAGCAGTGATGGGGTCACATGGACGGTGAGAACTTAAACAAGATGTAAAATTCTCTAATTTGTAAATTAGGAAAACTGCATATTTCATAACATTAACTTATTTTCATTTAAATCTTTTTTTCTTTATAGGAGATTGAGTTCATGTATAAGCCAGGGAATCTGAGTGCACCTCCTCCTGTGCTGACACCCCATCAGCCCAGGCTGGACTGGCAAATGTGGTTTGCTGCTCTTGGGCCCAATACGCAATCTCCATGGTTCACCAGCCTGATGTACAGACTCCTGCAAGGAAAAAGAGACGGTATGAACACGTAGAGCGGAGAGCTGCATTTTCCTTGTGCAGCTGCTTAATGGGAAGTTCAGTTAATCAAATTAGGGGGAAAAAATCCCATGTTGTTTGTTTATACGGTTTTATTTGAAAGCCACATTTTATGGTATTTTTAAAGGTGGTGCAATCAAAAGAAAAAGTAGCAGGAGGCAAATAAAAATCCACCAGAGATCCATGTTACAAGTTTTCTGTTCTACCTTAGTCTTGACTTAGACTATTCTACAGTGCTCAATTACCTTGGTCAGGAACAAACAGTTCTCTTAAAGTTTGCTTTGTGTTCTGCAGTTGTTGAACTGATCCAGTCGGATGTATCCCAGTATCCATTTCACCAGCAGCCGCCTGCCTATCTGCGAGCTCACCGCTACAGATACTGGTTTACCGAATCAAAGGCTGACGGGTCAGTGCTCTCTGGTTCTCCTCGTGCTTCATTGTGTTTGCATGCATTGAAGAAACTTCACTGGAAACATTTCACGGCTTGATTTATTCCTTTATTTCATTTTCTGGTGTTTAAAAAAAAAAAAAAAAAGTGACTTTAGACATGCATACTAAATTTAATGCAGGTTTACTTATTTTATCCTAAAACTAGACCTCACCGACTCTTTGTTTGCAGCTCTTTCCCAGAGCGCTGGTGGAGGAGGGTCTATGATGAGGAGTTCTATCCCATAGTGCATCTGGGAAACAGTTTCCTAGAGGGCATGCTCAACCAATATGGACTTAAGGTAACTCTCGAAAATGCTTTCCTGTATTCGAAGAGCTTAATGTTCGCTCCTGATTAGATTTAGGCTTCTGGATAGTTGTTCCACAGAACCAGATTTTTGTGTTTGAAGCCCTCCCTGGGACAAAAAAGGCAGACCAGTCAAAAGAGAAAAGAGGACCCACTGTACACCAGTGTGTCATCCTTTTCAGATGAGTTGTAGAGAATATTACAAGTGGTCAAAAGTGTGGGGGAGGGTGAAAATGAGATGCGGCATGCAGTTCTATTTTCCTGCATGAATTAGACTACATGTCCATGACGTATGCCAGTATAGGAAGCAGTCGGTTTCATAATTTCAGTGTGAAAACAAAACTAACATGATTGGTGATGTGATGTAATAAAAACACAAGCCTTAGTTTTCCAGCTCAAAAGATCCAGTGTTAGCACCACCACTGATCCACACTGATTTCTGTTTATAGGACAAGTCTCCTCCGCGCCGTTTGTCCAACACCACTGTTGCCCAAGCGGTGAGGTGGGTGCGCTCTCAGGTCAGAGGTGTCCCTGCGCACACACTTATCTGGACCCTGATTGCCTGCAGTGCCACCTTCTGTCTACTTCAGGGATTGCGACATAAAAGCAAAGATGCAGAGAAGCCTTCAGACGCTCACAAGGCCACAGCGACCGATCGTACTGAAAATGCGGCCGACGGCTCTTCTTCAGACCATCGTGAGAAGTCTGATGAACAGCAGGCAGATGAGGAGGCTGACAAAGAAGCAGACAGTGAAGACGAGGTGGAAGAGGAGGGAGAAGAGGAGAACGAAGTTGATGAAGAAGATGAGGATGAAGAAAGGATAGAAAAAAGATGAGGGCCTTGAAAAAGCTACTGGTAATCCATCGTAGACTGTTATCACGTCTGCCTTTATAAAATGTTACCAAGATGACCAAAGAAGATGTTTTCTGTATTTTTGTGTTTCCCGATCAGCCACTCGTTAACAACATGCCTGCCTTGTTTCACCAACACTTCACTGCACCACACTGTATCTCTCTGTATTTCTGCTTCATCACTTTGCAGAAGTTTTTTAAACATTTTAATGCCTTCCTTGTCAGTTCTGACATATACAGCTGAACACCTGGAGAAACCCAGTTTAAAAAAACCAAACAAATCATGTAGAATGAAACGAGAAACGATGATGTGGGCTCTGGTTTGTCTAGCGTTGACGCTACTGTTCGGCACAGTTTGTCTCCCGCCTGTGCTGTTTGCGTCTTGCTGTATGTACAGAACTAAATCACACAAGCACTTTTCCCCTTTTCTACAAACGTGTGTTTTGGGTTTTGTTTTTGTTTAAGATTTCAAATTAAACACATGGAACACTGTAGTGTTTTGAAATCTTTTTATATATATGTAACAGTACAATAAAAGTGAAATTTTGATTTGTACATGCTTTATTGTATAAAATAGGCATTATTATAATGATTAGAATATACAAAATAAGATTGATTTATCCAGTAAAAACTAAACTATATACAGAAAGACACCAAGTCCAGCTATACATTTAGTCAGTGTCACAATATAGAAAATCATTCCACTAACCGATTTCTAACAGTGTTGTCGGTGATTTTTCTTTTTAAGCGTTCCTTTTGGTCCGTTTTACCACTGCAGTACTCCAGGACAGTACTTGTCAATCAGAGACCGGTAGTACACCTTCAGGTTGTTGACGTCAGGCAGATCAGTGGTTTTTGTGTACAGGTCAAATTTGCTGTAGATGAATCAGAGTTAAGTCCTGGGTGCAAAACTTGACTGAACACATTTTACATGTGTGTTTAAGATACTCACTTGAACTCTTTGACCCAGGGCAGCATCTTCAAGTCTTTATCGTTGCACAGATGCATGTAATCTCCATGGGAGTGCCAGGGGTAGAAGGAATGGAAGCGAATCATGTATAAGCCCTGGAGGGAGACACAAATTAGAGGTGTCTCCAGTCACTGTATGCATGGAAAAAACAAATGTATTTTTTCCACTATAATCGGGATTTATCCACTAATTCTTCTATTCTACCCCTTTTGTTCTGATGCCTAATCTTTGACCTTTACTCCGGTTGTGTTGGAGTTGCAATCAGTCTTTCCCCACAAATTAATCCAATTAAATGTTTGGTTCTTAAACCTGCTGAAATCTACCCTGGTTCTCAAAGAGCACCAAGCAGAACTGGCACCATGTCAGAGGAAAAGAGGAATTAGTGTTTAAGCTGTTAATTCAGAGCCAAGACTTTCCTGTTGCCTAACACTTTTGTGCCAACTATAAAGCTAATTGCCCCCGATAAAAACAATTTAAGGTAATAATTAACTCACCTCCTCTGGGATGAGGCACTTGTTGAACTTCATAACTCTATAGAGATACTCTGAAGACAAGAACGCAAGGGTGTAGATCACAGTGTAATAGATAAATGCTCTTCTATAGTAGTAGAACTTTTAAAAATAATTTAAGTCATGCGTGGCTGATGATGCTTCTTACCATCGTGGCCCCAGGACATGAGGACATTGTCAAGGCCACAGTTTGGTTCGTAGATCCCAAACTCAGTGCTAAAGGGGGAAAAAACATAACAGGATCAACTCCCTGCACTTTTAATAATTAGACTACAATTTACTGTCAGCAGTCATAATTTTACAAGGAGCATATTTTCAATAGCACAAATAAAAAAAAAATTTTTGGTCAGCTGATTAACACCAACTGTGGACTGAACAGATGCAGATGTGTGTTTTTATGTCCACTGAGCAGTTTGCTTTCAAGCACACTTCGTTAACTTTTTTTTCCAATGTTCTCATCTGTAAAATATGTGCAATTATTTTGTGAAATTCGCAGAGTCAACGTCAGAATACCAACTTGTATTTGGGATTATTGTCATCTGGATTTTTCAGGAAGGTGTTGTTTCTGAACACAATGGAGTTTTGAAATTTGCAGCCAACGGGGAAAGTGTCGCCCACTACAGCCCACTACAGGACACAGAGACACAGACAGTTACCTTAGAAACCTATTAAAATTAAACATGAAACAAATGGGATTTATATAGTAATAATAACAATAATGAGCAATAAACTAAATGAACACAACTGTGTTAAAACTTCCGTTTGAGGAAAAGCAGCTCTGAAAACTTTGAACAGATGAATCTGCTGTGCCAGCTTTACCTATCTTGGACCTATCCCTCACCTGCGGTTCATCCCAGAGAGCCATGATCTTTCCGACATCATGGATCAGACCAACCAGCTGGAACCATTCTGAGAGGTACAGTAAGTAAAAGATATTTACTCTATAGCATGAGCTTTTCCACAGTCTCGGTGCATTTCTGATTCTCTCTCTGCACTTTACCTTTGTCTGGGTGTTCTTGGCGGATGCCTTCAGCAGTCTGGAAAGCGTGGAAGGAGTTGGGGAAGTCCACATCGGGATCAGACTCATCCACAAGCTGGTCTAGAGACATGATGGCATCCATCATCCCCATCCGGGTGTGGTTACAACCGTTCCATTCAGTGTGCTGCATCAATATTAGACAGTTAAATAACTCCAAGCGGTGTGTGAAAAATGCTCTGGTGAACAGATAGAAGTGATGCTATTCAGCGGTCAAAGGAGCTTGCAAAGAAAAGCGTCTGGACTTCTTTAAGTTGCTTGAAGACGTTTCACCTCTCATCCGAGAAGCTTCTTCAGTTCTAAGGTCAAATGGTGGGGAGTCCCAGATTTAAACCTAGTGGGAGTGTCTCCCCACAGCATGTTGCTGGGTCTGAAATACACTGGGATGTCATGCTTGGAGAAAACTCTCCTGAGTTTTTCTGATACACCGGCTACATAGGGGATGACAATGTTGTTGCGTCTGTCTTTCTTATCCTCCCTCGCTGGTGTCTGATCTTCTTTTCTGTGCCTCTTTGCTGACTTTAAGAACGCCCATTTAGGATAGCTGCACGTTTTGAGTGCTTCCTTTGCATGCGTGTGTTCCTTGCACATGCGTGTGAAGGAACACACGCATGTAAAGGTTGCCGGTGTATCAGAAAAACTCAGGAGAGTTTTCTCCAAGCAAGACATCCCGGTGCATTTCAGACCCAGCAACACGCTCAGACAGAAACTGGTTCACCCAAAAGACAAAACTCCAAAACACAAACTTAGCAATGTGGTGTATGCTGTACAGTGCAGCGAGGAATGCCCAGACCTCTACATTGGAGAGACCAAACAGCCACTTCACAAGCGCATGGCACAACACAGAAGAGCCACCTCCACAGGACAAGACTCAGCAGTCCATCTGCATCTAAAGGACAAAGGTCACTCTTTCGAGGATGCCAATGTTCACATTTTGGACAGAGAGGACAGATGGTTTGAAAGAAGCCATCTATGTCCACTGTGAGCGACCATCTTTGAACAGAGGCGGGGGTTTACGACACCAACTGTCTGCCATCTATAATCCAGTTTTGAGTTCCCTCCCCTAGACGCCTTAACGACCACGCACATCCTGGGCCATCTGACCTCAGGAATTCGCATGATAAGGTGGGGCCAGGTTTCACAATGAGCTCACCCGAAACCCTGGCTGATTGGGACCCACACCCAGTTCCACACCTTGGCTCAGGCGATTAGAGGATCATCAGGGGGTCCTTTTTTCCCTCTGTGGGGGGATACTCCCACTAGGTTTAAATCTGGGACTCTCCACCATTTGACCTTAGAACTGAAGAAGCTTCTTGGATGAGAGGTGAAACGTCTTCAAGCAACTTAAAGAAGTCCAGACGCTTTTCTTTGCAAGCTCCTTTGACTACGATGACCTGGATGACTGAGAACCTTCACAGACACGATGCTATTCAGCAGTTAACACTAATATTCTGCCGTTTATAATAAAGCAAAAGCACATCATGTTGTCAAATATATGACAATATATTCAATGTATAACTTTGTGAGGAGAATTAGGTTAAGTAAACAATGTTAAGGCCAGAGACTGGTCTGTGATTCAGACCTCTTTCTTTTTTGTTTGCTCAGTCTGAGTCAAGTTTGCTCATCCAGAGGCAAATCCAGAGGTCGCACAAGTTCAGTGTGATTGACTAAAAGCTGCCATTCATGAATCTGTAACTGATCATTTCACATAGTGACAGACCTTATTTTTAATATCCAGGTCTCTTTTTTAAAATGTTCTCTTTGTACCAGGTTTTACTCACTGTTTTTTTTTTCCTTCTAATTTTCTCACCTTTTGGTTTACAAACTCCACTGTTTGATAGGTGTGCATCAGGCTGTACGTGTTGAAGACACGGTCAATTAGGTTTCCGCTCTGAAAACACAGACCAACACCAACAGATTCTCAAAAGCAAAAACTGATTTCCAATGTTTCCGTGTGTTTTTTTATGTGTAATATCGTTACGTATGTTGCTAAATAGACTTCGGTGAACAGGTATTGCAAAGGGGTTATATACAAAATTTAAAAAAATTACCTGTTTCTCAATTATCTTTGTAGCTGTGTTATTGTACTTAATTGTAATCAATCAGCTTCCTTTTGTCCACTTACAATAAACAATAATTTTTTTAACTGCATAAATAAAGGATACATAAAAGTACCTGCCAAAAAGTGATTGCGGCTTCTACCTTGTTACAGGAATGTTGTTTGTTGGTTAAGAGGACTTGATATAATTCACGAGAGATATATTTGACATATGTTTCACATATTGTAGATCAACAAGTTATTTATAGCAGTTTAAATACAAGCAATCAGTTTTTGGCACAACACCGGCCAATGATTGGTCGCTCAGTGGATCTAACAAACACACTCTAAAGGACTAAGTTCTGCCCCCACACCATTTATATATTACATATACATATGTACATATTAAGTAAACTTATATTTACATGCTTTTTTATCAGTATTTATTATAATTAACTTTGTTTTTATCAATATTTATTCCCATTGTGAGAGTATGAATATTTATACTTTTAATCCTGTTTTTAACACTGGGTTACATAGTTGTTTAGTTAGATCAGACCATCAAATCAATGAGCTTCTCGGAAAATCTGCATTAGACTGTAATGTTTGATTAGTTAAAAATCTGATGACATATGCAGAACTGTGTCAGCCTCTGCTGATAAAAACTCAACTATCTTTCAGTGAGTTGACCCCACTGTGGAAGCTTAAACTCAGTGAATGACTAAATGAACTGAGTGAATGATCTGCTGTTACAGAACTGATCAAATTAGCCAGAAGTCAGACTCTATTGAGTAGAAAATAAGAACCTGAACTCCCCTTGTGGTCAGCCTTGGGTTAGTGTTAGGCACATTTTGATATTTTGCTTAAGTTTTGGCTCACTCTGAAGCTCAGCTTTTTTTTTTTTTTTTAAACTTAAAGCAGTTATGTCTGCCTGTAATTAT